TGGCGATAGTTTTCGCAAACAGTTTTCCTTATAGAAGGAAGTTCACAATTCCTACTGATCATAAGCCGCTGCTTGCAATTTTCGGATCAAAGTCAGACATCACCGTCTACACAGCGAACAGGTTGCAACGTTGGATCACCACTTTGCACGATTACGATTTTGAGGTGAAGCATACCTCCACAAAAGACAGAGTGAGGGTTTATGGCAAACTGTCGCCTCCGTTCAAAAACTTCAGCGGTCTGAGACGAGGTTGCCCGCTGTCGCTTTTCCTAGTTTACTTTGCTATTGATAAAGCCATCGAAACAACGTTCGCTGGACACGACCTAGAAGGTGTGGAGCCACTTCCTGGTGAGCGACTACTTGACTTGGAGTAAGCGGACGATATTGCTCTAATCTGTGACAGCTCTCTAATGTGCCAAGCAGCACTGGACCGATTAGCACTGACTGTTAATCTTTTCGAGCTATGCTTTGCTCCACCGAAATGCAAAGTCCTTCTCCTAGGTTGGCAGGGGCTCACTTGTGCGCTGACCTTTGGTGATCAGCAAGAAGTTGTTCAGGAATTCAAGTACCTAGGCAGCTATATTAGCGCCCGTTGGATCGAAATTGAAATTACAAACCGTATAGCAAAAGCTGGAGGTGTTTTTGACAAACTCCGCCACCTGTGACGCGGACGCGACATCACTCTCGCCCTCAAGGACAGAGTTTATAATGCAGCCGTCCGTTCTACCCTCCTATACGATTGTGAAACCCGGACCATCAGGTCGATAGACATAAAGAGGCTCGTCACGTTCGAACATCGCTGCCTTCGCAACTTAATTCATGTCTGGTGGGAGAACCGCGTGATCAATGAGCGTGTTCGGCGTCGCGCATTTAGCGCAGGAAGAGCTAGTGAACCGCTCAGCCCAATTATGTCACGCACTAGGCTCCAATGACTGGGCCACGTGTTGTGCATGTCAGCACACCGGCTCTTGCGACGTGCATTGTTTGCGCGCTGGGTGTGCAGCTAAAAGAGGAGGAGAGGTCAAGCGATGACTTGATCGCGAGAAATAAAAACCCTCATTTCGAAGTTGGCGTCGGTTGGTGCATTCTGACTGCGTGTCTGGGGCTCTAAGAAGGATGATCACGTTTGGTTGGACACACTTGCTGATATAGCGAAGAGCCGGCCCCAGTGGCGTTTGTGTTTCTTTGTCCATCGCCAACTTTTATGTTTCCGTTCCATTCCGATCTCATCCAGATTGAATTACATAATATGTAACAGTATATTACCTGGGTTTCTTTTTGGAGTGTAGCTTATCCATTTTGTTTTGCGACACATTAGCTGCGTTTCTTACCCTCAGCTAACGCGTACCGTAAAACCGGGTGACTTAGGTCTATTCTTTTGTTTGGAATGTACCATCATCATCATTATACACATTAGCTAGAGGTGAGAAGCACCTTAGCTACTGTGCCGCAATACATAAGAAAAATGGGGAAAAATGCTGCAGATGCAAGCCAGCAGAGCTACCGATAACAATAATAGTAACGGATGGACATCGCTCCGGTAAGCTACCAGTCAGCTACTATGCAGCAAAATTATATAAGGCTAAGTAGTGTAATCGTGGTGGAGGGGGAAGCTAAGAGGGATGGGGTGGAGCAGAGGAACTCAAAGCACGAACGACACTGAGGGCCATATCAACAAATGTATCCAGCCAAACATGTTCATCGTCGTTCGGACCCCAACCAATGAGCCGAGACGCTCCAACCGAGGCCAGCTTCGAAGTGAGGGCCTTCATTCCTCTCGACCAAGTCATCGCTTGGCCACCTCTCCTCTTCTTCCATCCACACCCCCGGGGCGCAAACAACGCACGTCGCGGGAGTCGGTGGGCTGGCATGCGTAACACGTGCTCGAGCCATCGGAGCCTGGTGCGTGAAATAACGGTACTGAGCGGTTCATTTCCTTTTCCTGTGCCGTAAACAAGGCGTCGAACACGCCGGTTGCTCACACGGCGTTCCCAACAGATGTGAGCTAAATTGTGAAGGCACTGGTGATCGAACGTAACTAGCCTATTTATGTCCGCTGATCTAAGGTGCCAGACTTCACAACCGTACAGTAGAATAGAACGTAACGCTGCATTGTACGCTTGATATTTTTCTTTAAACGTACTAATAAATGTGTGGTTGGGATGTCCCACACATTTAGGAGTACTTTTGAAAAAAATTATTAAGTGCTCTGTTCATAGGCTTTAGTGTTGTCATGCTGTAGATGTTAACTGATGCGCTTCTATATCATTAAGGCAGTTGTTTTAAAATATGTACTGTGGCGAAAGTTACTTTTTAACTGGGATACTCTGACCCTGAAGGCAACATCCACACAGAACCAATGCTGTACAACGCAAGGGTGAGAAAAGCCACTGTTTATATTTTAAAAAATTACAAAAAGCATCTATAACATTATTAAATACGTAAGCAAATATCACGAGATGTTTTTTCGAATTCGATAGGCGTTTGATGGGGGAACACACTCGTCATGACAATCAGGAAACATTTCTAGCCGGTTGTCACTGACACCACCGACCTAGGACGAGTAATCGGCTTCTCTTAAATAAACGTTGGCAGCCAAATCACTTTCTGGTTCAGCACATGGCTCGCTTCCGGTAACAAGCTCTTCGGTTGGACCCAAGACACTTTTCCCAGACTGGACGTTGAGGTTTTAACTTGCGTGTGGGAAATTATCTCCATCAGTGACGAACGCATTCTTCCAGTTATTGCTTGAATACCTCTGAAAGGGAGGTGCTGATGGCACCTGCATAATTTTCATTTTCCCCTGAAATTCTGGTCAAGACAGGCTGGGGATTTATTGGGTACATGCTCATTTTTCTGAACCTCGACCGTAAGTTATCTGCAGTACCTTCATCCATGGTATGTAAAAGTGCTAGAGCAGCCCAGGAAACCTATCCCTTCGGATGGTTTGAACCTTTTTGCCACGGCAGTTTTTATATTTCGTCAGAATGGCTCTCCACTGGGTCTTTATAAGTCGTGTGCTGCAATGCAAACTGCCTGATGGTATATGCATCTTCTTCCTTTTCCTCTGGAACTCTGCTCAGGACAGACTGGGGATTTATTGGGTACATGACAGTTTTTCTAAACCCCGACCGTATGTTTTCTGCAATACCTTCATCCATGGTATGTAGAAGCTGATTGTGCAACCCGGAAACTAATCTTTCTGGATTGTTTGGGCTTTCTTGCCATGAGTTTTTATCTTTTGTCAGTGTGTCCATCCACTGGGTCTTCAGACGCCAATGGGATGCTTCATCTAGGGGCTAGCAGAAGTGAATTGTGACAGGTGGGAGGCAACAAAAAGCTATATTGTTTTAATTACAGAGTATGACAATGTAAAAAATAAAAGTGTGAACTGAAATTGTCACCTAAGAGGATACAAGGTCCAGATTTTCTGCGACAGAAAGGTATTGCCACTTGCTGAAACCAGCCCAGAAAACAGATGTTGCCAAACCAGCCTGACCATGACCTGGTATATCGTGTGCCTGCTGGACCACTGTCCTTCCAAGTGTCCCAAATAATGTATTACTATAAGTATGTCCCTTTATATTACACAATGAATACTAATGACATGTTATTTAAACTTCAAGCATTAATCATTGCATTCTAACAGTGGTTACTTAACGGGGTTAGTGTGGCCAACTGGCCAAAATTAACCCAAAATAATAAGTTTATTGGGGTAACATTGGCCACCAAGACAGTAACATAATGCATAATACAAGTGTTTGGATAACATCAAATACGCTTACTATTACTTATTGACAAAGCGACAACACAGGTGGTTATACTTACACTCTCTTAGAAACTTGATTCACAGTTGAAAGTATACCGTATGTTAAATCCATGTCATAAAGCAGTCCATCTTCACGAGTATTCTTAGGATTAAATGTTCCAGTTCAGCATAAAAGGATTTCAAATTAAAGAAGAATAAATTCTCAACATTTGAAATCGATTTTACCACACACAAAATAATAAAGATAAGTGCCATTTAAGTTTTAAATATTCTCTTGTTGGGCCAAAGTTACCCCACGAGGCCAAAAGTACCCCGTTTTACAGTATTGGTGATGATGATGACTCGGTCCTTGCTGGTCTCTGATGTTCTCATTTCCTCGAGTGTTGAGCAGACGAGGCAGCACAACGGAGATGTACTGTAAACTAATGGTAGGCCGCATTCCTTGCTCCCATCTGACTATATGCAAAGCTGTTCTGTTGTGCTTATGTCCAAGATTTGCTACAGAGAGGGAGCACCTTTCAGGAGACAGACTATCGGGACGGAGAGCAATTCATCGACAGTCAACAGACTCGCCAATTGTCACTTTGTGGGGTTCTGGGTTTGGACAGGTGACTTTGGGTCGCACAAAGCTACAGTAAATGGCTTTTTGTTGCACTTCTGTACGTAACCTAGTTCGTTTGTAAAGTTACTTTTTCGCAACGGAACCCTCCTCTCTATAATAACATATACCAGCAATCGTTATCCTATGAAAGCGCAGTCTTTCAGTGTTTGGATCGACACAGGTCACGAGTTGAATTCCCAACTGGAATGCCGACTGATGAATCGTCATGGTTTCCAGTTTCCGCCATGCTGAGACGCCTAACGAAATTTCCCGTTTAAGTGAAAATGAGGCTGACCGACAAAACACGAAGAGGGCGCGGTGATCACTACCACACGGTCCGGAGATTTGGATAGATTCAAGCGCCAGTTGGTACGGCTGTGGACTATGCTGAGACAGATCGTATATCTTTGGTACCAATGGGGTTTAAATAATAGCCCACTTGTTTGTAAGTAGGTCACAACTGATTTGTCACTTTGTGACCCGAAATAAGCACCTGACGCGAATCCAGGTACAATCAGAGAAAGAGCTGGCACATAGTGGCCAGTCTCTTGCGTAGTCAACTGGGTTTCTCAGTTGCTAGACAGCCCATGAGTCTAAGGGCACTAAACACATTAAGAAACGCTGTGGTTAACAGACAGGTCGGTTGTTGTGGGACCCTGAGGTCCAGATGGTGGTGTTTAGGCTGAATGATTTTCCAGTGCTGTCACCGGCGTATGGATGTTCGCATGCGGACAGGATGCACATTGGATGGTACAGCAAGAGGGTGTTAACATCGTCCACTGTATGTAGTTACCGGGAAACTGGAGATGGACAACATATCTAGGTGGTCTCTAGTCCGTTTACATTGCATGTAGTGTACGATAGAAGGAAGATGAAAGGATAGTATGGAACCTGTAAAACGCCTGTGTGAACGATACTGTAGAACTAAGAAGATACGCGGTACGAAGAGGAGGTTACGATTATGTACAGTGAGTGGGGATTAGAAAAGGGTAGAGATAAGGTATACAAACATCAACTAGCTTCAACATCAAAGAGATCTGGTGACTGAGGAGCCCCGAGGAAACTGCCAGAGCAAGAATGGACGGTGGGAACGACAGGACGAACAGGGAGTAGGCTATCAGCTTCCTCCTCAACGGATTCCTCGTCGGAGCTAGCTTTGATAGCCAAATTTCTGAAAGACTGTCTTGGACTGCCGGAAAAAGGCGCACGATAAGCTATGTGTTCGGAGGTAGCCTCATGAGTGACGGTTTCATAGCCTTCCTGTTTAATTAAAGACGCTCCATTGAGGGGGTCAGTTGGTTCATTTTCGGATGGTGCAACTGCTGAGTTGTCCACCAGGAGGTTATCATTTGCACATTTGTCTCTCATTTCGTTAGGACCACAATCACTGTCAGAAGATAAAACACATCGTCTCGTCCTCCTTCCAATCGGTTTTCCTGTCTGAATGATTTGCTCTCCATCGGAGTCTTCGTCCAGAGTCTTCGAACTACGTGTTTCACATACTTTCCTGTCCGGAAAACGCGATGGTTTCGAGTCCAGATTGTCGAAGCAGTCGGATTCTTCCTCTTCCGATTCATCATACTTAACGACAGTACGAGTACGTCTGAAGAAGGGATAAAACAAACAGGTTATAATGCGGCTTTTAATGCATCTCAGTTTCACAGTAAATGTCGATAGAGATAGAAAATGAACACAAACCGAACGAAACCTATAGAAGCGATGCGAGTCACTTGGCCATCATGGTCTTATCGACAACAACCGTCGACAGTTCATTAGCAAAAATAATCGCACTGCCTGTGTTACCAAAATGGCTGAGGCAGTGAGCCAAGATGCGTCAGTTAGCAGAAACAAAAAAGTGACTATTAATGATAGAAGAGAAAAGAAGATGAGGACAGAATGAGCTGTGAGGATTATCAAATAGAAACAGCGAAGCAAACGAACAGGTGCCACTGACTCCGCGCTGATTCACTGTGCCAGGCGCTTGTCGTCTGAGCGCGTACTGCGGCTACTGGTCTGCTTGCCATAGCTATTGATTGATGATTTTGGTTCACTATCCATGTGACTCACGCAACCTTTTCCTGCATGTTACATACGTCCGCCCATTGCCTAAACAGAACAGCTATGTTCGTTAGGTCAAGGCTGATGAGAAGGTTCGGAGTGGTCAACCATTGGTTGGGTAGTGGAAAACAGTGTGCAGGTGATGTCGGATACTTTCACCTCCCAGTTTTGGGTTCAGCTGCCCCACCGTGCCTGGTTCGACACATCAGATCGCGTAGCGGGAGAAAGTGGCCTGTCTCCTGTCGTCCTCTAGCCCGACTGTCTCAAAGGGTGTAGTCCTAGTTGAGGTAAAACACAGATCAATACCAGGGTCAGTGAAGTTCGCAAAGCGAATGTCCAGATGAGGCCAGTGAATTTTCATAGGACGGTCAACTATTTGTGGTCATGCGGTGTCGGCAAGCTGTGAGCGCTTTGAATCTAGATGTTTCTACGGTCATCTGGGACCATATTGTTTCCCTCCGTTATTCTTCATTAGTAGGGTCACTCTATTTAATTCCAGTATGATAGCAGACCACGAACGTTTCGATGTCGTCAACCCTTTGCCAGAAAAAACATGCAGATCAAAACAAAGGCGGAAACAGCGTGACCTGGCAGTTAAAGCGCATGGCGATTTAGTACGGTGCATAGGATACTACTGCTATATTCTAAGCCGCGTACGCTAGGACTGCTCGATCAGCGAGCGTCGTGGATATGGATGATGCTTGTGGGAATCGGTGAATGACAACGTGCATAATCCTTAATTTCCTGACCGGAACACTTGCCCCAGTGCAGTGTTGCACGTGCTGTCCTTAAGTGATCGTCTAATATCGATCCTAGAGCCTTTACATAGCTTTCTGGGTTTAAATGAGGCTCAATGAACTGTCTTAGGCACCAGAGAAGATACAGCTACAAAAGAAAATGAGTGGATGGACAATCTCGGATGGAATTAGCGGCGCGGTAATTCGATCAGCAACAGCGCGCGCTACTCTGCAGGCAAGAAGCACATTCCAGGTCGCGAAACGCTGTGCCAGTCTACTTAACACCTTTGGAAGGACGATTCGATCCAGAGGGAATTACGTTGTTCTTGCGTCCTAAATGTTCAGTCTGTAACATGAAAAAGCAAGCGTCACGGACGATGCTGCTAGAACCGTCATTCACAATCGTTTTGATCGAAAAGTTAAAAAAGCAGCCATGACGCACAACACTTGTCACGAAGATGTGAATGAAGAGTGTCATATATATATATATATATATATATATATATATATATATATATATATATATATATATATATATATATATATATATATATATATAGTCCACAGTTCGGAAAATGGACATGGAGCCATCGAAAAACCACGAGAATCAAAGGAAAGTACAGTTTGACAAAGATAGAACGGCACTTTTTCAGTTTGTTTATCACGCCGATCTTTTTGTCATTCTCAATGTTTGAGGTATAAAACATATGAATATATACAATTATGCACATACAATTCCTCCACTGATTTCAATTGAGTGTTGTCTTCAAGCGTATTAACTCATTAGCACTCCTCATCCTTGGGTCCTCACCAGGAAGACGTACGGGTCCATCAGCGGTCAGACGCAGCATTAGCGATTTCATGTGTTATCGCTAAGTGAAAGGCTGATCACCACACAGTCGCTTTCAGACCGGTCCTCGATGAGCGAGTAGAGCGCGGTGCGGTAAACGCTCAGGAGCCATGCGTAGGATCTGGGGCAGCGAAACTAGCCGGTTGAAAAGAATACTCGCATTTCCCAAGGCGAGACATCGAACGTCATCGCTGTGAACTCGATGTTGCCACCACACACGGGCGATCCTATTCACGCAACAGTTGTCAAATGCAGAAAGACAACGCATGTCCTCCACGCGGATCGGTCAGAACTTGTAGCCATATAACCATGCTAAACGAACAGATGCGCTGTAAACACGGCCCTTTAGCAAGAATGCGACGACGCCACAAGTGCACCAGATTGACAAATGCTGATCGGACTTATTTAACTCGAAAATTCCACCCATGGAATTGATAAAACACATGGTAGCGAAGAGCACTAATTTCGATAAATCTCATCAGGCGTTTGCAATTATAAAATGGATAGTTGAAGCGGGATAGGTTAGTTAAGCGCGCTAGAGATTAGCGAATCAGAGCGAGGCAGCAAGTGAGTTGTCCTAATCGATAAATTGGTCGATCCACTCAAGCAGCAGCCACCACATTACACGTAGGCAGACACTGCACACACACATACACACATTCCCACGAGACATAGCAGGTGCTTTTCAACTCATTGGGTGACGCACTCATCACTCGGTGGTTGTCAGCGTGTTAAGTGGAAGCTGTTTAGAAGTGTATTAGCCCCAGAGCAGAAGGAGCGCTTGAATAAGCGCCCTTTGTTTGCATAGTTCAGGTTGTATAAGCCTGATCGCAATGGCTTCGGCTGTCCGTAACATTCGTTTCCTAAGCCCCTTGGGGTAGCGTTTTGGAACAACATAAAACACTTTGAAAGCATCAGTAGTCTTGATTTGATGTCCACATTCGTCCAGATGTTCTAGGATAGAACTCTTGATGCAACCGACAATACCTTTCTGCAATGCCGTGGGACAGTGCTCCGATATCCGTTTAGACAGACGCTTAGTCGTATATCCGAGGTACTTCACACCACAGGTGCAAATAAATTGATATAGAACACAAGATTCGGACTGGACTGGGAGTCTGTCTTTGAGACGTTAGACAACAAACGGCACGGTTTCAGCAATGATGTGTGGATATGCAGCTATCCCGCTTCAACTACCCATTTTATAATTGCAAACGCCTGATGAGATTTATCGAAATTAGTGCTCTTCGCTACCATGTGTTTTATCAATTCCATGGGTGTAATTTTCGAGTTAAATAAGTCCGATCAGCATTTGTCAATCTGGTGCACTTGTGGCGTCGTCGCATTCTTGCTAAAGGGCCGTGTTTACAGCGCATCTGTTCGTTTAGCATGGTTATATGGCTACAAGTTCTGACCGATCCGCGTGGAGGACATGCGTTGTCTTTCTGCATTTGACAACTGTTGCGTGAATAGGATCGCCCGTGTGTGGTGGCAACATCGAGTTCACAGCGATGACGTTCGATGTCTCGCCTTGCGAAATGCGAGTATTCTTTTCAACCGGCTAGTTTCGCTGCCCCAGATCCTACGCATGGCTCCTGAGCGTTTACCGCACCGTGCTCTACTCGCTCATCGAGGACCGGTCTGAAAGCGACTGCGTGGTGATCAGCCTTTCACTTAGCGACAACACATGAAATCGCTAACGTTGCGTCTGGCGGCCCATGGACCCGTACGTCTTCCTGGTGAGGACCCAAGGATGAGGAGTGCTAATGAGTTAATACGCTTGAAGATAACACTCAATTGAAATCAGTGGAGGAAGTATGTGCATAATTGTATATATTCATATGTTTTGTACCTCAAACATTGAGAATGACAAAAAGATCGGCGTGATAAACAAACTGAAAAAGTGCCGTTCTATCTTTGTCAAACTGTACTTTCCTTTGATTCTCGTGGCTTTTCGATGGCTCCATGTCCATTTTCCGAACTGTGGACTATATATATATATATATATATATATATATATATATATATATATATATATATATATATATATATATATATATATCATGGATTGATAAGGAGTGTGTTGTACTGTCAAGAAGACGCGCGAAGTTATGGGAATGCTTTAGGTACATGCATAGCGCCGAAGATTACACAGTTTATAAAACACAGCGCCATTGCAGAAACGCAGCGAAACTACAAAAATGTTCAGCTAACGAAACGCGCTTACCAGCAAGAGCCGAAGAAGCATGCAAGATATTTTTGCGTGTGTCAGATACACGCTTAAGCTACATGATGAATTACCTATCCTGGATATTCGCTTGGTGTGTTGTTGACGGCCGACACGGACCAAGTTATAGTACCTGATTGTCATTTAAAGTCAGTTCCTTACGCAGCCACTCTAGCATGTGATCAAATCTCAATCGCTGCGAAACTGCATACCGTAGCGAGATGAGAAAATTACCATTTTATGCCTTGGGACACGAAATATTTACAGTACCGTGCTCTTTAATTAATGAATTCGTGACTTGGATTCCTTCTCATCGGCTGTATTGTTTACCTTTTTTTTTGGTATTTTGCTAAAAGTATCCCCGCTGGTCGTGCGTTTTATCAAGAACATCTCCCAATGTAATGGAATGCCCAGTGTCTGAATAACTTCATCCCTATTAAGCATTTTGGTGCAAGTGACCACTATTCGTCAAAGGTCTGGAATGATCATTTTCAGTTAAAGCTCCCCCTATTTGCACATCTTATCATAACTCTATATTGTCGTATCTATCCCGTATTCTTGCGACTACTCATAATTCGCCAAAGACCCCATACTCCGAAAGGAAATAGCGCCAGTCACCCCATTCATAGCGCGTTATTCCCATACGTGTCCGCTCCCTCAGCCGCAAGCATACAATCATATGTATTTAAAGAATCAGCTGATAGATGTGATCACTGATTTTATCGCCATAA